CCCGCTCCAAGAGTGAGCATTTTTCAGCATCTACATGACTTATAACTTTTTGCAATCAGTTGTTATTCTGATAAATCGAAAAAAAATTGGAAATTATGCGAAGACACATTGTAAGAAACTTATTTTTATTTCCACAATACTGCATCCTTAAATTTCAGGACATGAACACGCTAAAAACTTGGGAAGTAATTCAGTAACCTACTCCTTCGTTTAGAAGAAAAGTGCTTTTTGGTATTATATTTAACTGACCTGATGATTGTCAGCGTTCCCAGGGGATTGCCAGAATCTATGGCAAGTTTGATAGACAATCTACTGGCTTCATCCCGCGTCATGCGAAGCAGCCGTGAAAATGCAATGACCTGTACGATACTCTTTCTTTTTATCTAGGCATCAGAAGTAGTATGATAAAAAAATGTAAAAAATTTGGAAAACCTCAAGTAACGTTCGCTCCTCACGGACGATATAATCTTTCAATGAAGCATTTCTCCATTCCTTATTTTCAAGCTGAGGAGAGATGACATACATGTTATGATTCTCCTAGAAGAATAAAAAATCAAAAATTTTGGTCAAAGCGACTGGAATGAACAGGAACCTGTAGTTTCTGAATAGAACATAGAGTTTCGTATATCTCCATGTAATGCTCGTCTTTACCCATAAATCTCAGTATCACGCTCTTAGTGGCTGTTAGAAGCCCACTTCGCCTAGCTAAGGATGCCTAGAAAAAAGTAGTAATTCGGTCTAGGACCCATACTACTGTAAGCTACCTCCGTCCACACTTCAACAGAACTATCGATCTGGTGCTTCCAGTGGTTAATCAACTGCGAAGCTACACCTACGAGAAACTGCTCGCCCTTCTCCGCCCGGACATCTTCCAGAAATTGAAGGACAGTAGAAGTCTAAAAATGCATAGGTAGGTTTACTAGATATAATGAGGTAGACAAAAGAGTTACCGTCTCGGTCTTTTGCAGATGTTCAGCATACAGCACGTATACTCGTGGGAGCAAAACCTGTGGAGAATGCTTCTCGTGTAGCTGACAATAGGTGTTTACTACCTACAACATGGTTATGGAGGATACTGTATGTCCGTGATAATTCGATGACGTCACCTTGACCGCATCAGCGAATCTTTGAGAGATTTCATATCTATCATGAGTGAACATAAATCGCACAAATTTCATAAAATTGTACTCTGACGCTAGGACTGCATCTAGCATTCCTAACGG